CCCGATGCGGGACTCGATCCAGGGACTCCTGGATCATGACCTGAGCCGAAGGCAGTCGCTCAACCAACTGAGCCACCCAGGCGCCCCAAGAGTTGTTTTTTTTTAATTGTCTGTGTTCTTATAACTTATAAAATGGGAATTCACTGAAATCTTTATCTGTAGAGACTTTTGAATTGATCCCCTCAGATCTTTGAACGTTTCTGCTAAACAGATCTCTAATCTAGGGTTATATTCTTTGGATGTACCTTTATAAATTTCTCTGAGAAATTTTTCAGTCACATTGATGCTCTTAAATAACCTTCCAGTTCTTGCCATTGTTGTTTCTTGGACATTTATCTGATTGATAATAAACTGTTATTTGAATTAATTAATGAATTAATTTTTTTAATGTGAATTTACTCAATTGGGATATAAATCATCTTTTTCATATGAGATAGTTAAAAACCACAATGGAAAGACATTAATCCTTGCTCTGTGCAAATATTATGCTAGCTGATGATGGGACATGAATAGACCCAAAAAAGGTACAATCCGTAAAGGACTAAACCTTAACCATAAAGACCTTAAAGGACTGTACAAAGTAGAAAAGAAAGCATACAAAGACAGGAAGAAGGAAGGTAGTGAGAGGGCATCTGTTATTAACTGAATATGGAATGATATACTCAGTAACCGTGTTTTATCTTGCCTCTTAGCTTCATCTAATAATGTTAAAAAACACACAGGGGGGAAAAAACCCTCAATTGTTGTAAGGTCTTTCAGTAAGTATTAAAAACATATTAGAAGTCTAAAAATTCGCCAGTCACTAAGGGAGAAAATTAGCTAATATGATTCTTGCCTTCAAAGAACTTAACTTTTATTTATTTATTTTTAAGATTTTATTTATTTGACAGAGAGACAGCAAGAGAGGGAACACAAGCTGGGAGTGGGAGAGGGAGAAGCAGGCTTCCCGCTGAGCAGGGAGCCCGATGTGGGGCTCGATCCCAGGACCCTGGGATCATGACCTGAGCCGAAGGCAGACACTTAATGACTAAGCCACCCAGGCGCCCCAACTTCTATTTTTTAAGTAAATAAGAAAGTGAAGCAATATTTTATATCTTTGTGAAATTCCCACATTTGGGTAGGGTTTTTTTTTTTTTTTTAGTTTTTTTTTTTTTAATATCTACACCCAATGTTGAACTTGAACTCATGACCCCGAGATCAAGAGTCGCATGCTTTCCCAGCTGAGCCAACCAGGCAACCCAAATTCCTACATTTGGAAGATTGCTTATAAAAAATTCTTAATGTATCCATTTTAGTCATATAGATATATTTCTTTTTTTAAAAAAGATGTATTCATTTATTTTAGAGTGCACGTGAGTAGGGGGAGGGCAGAGGAAGAAAATCTCAAGCAGACTCCACATTTAGCACGGAAGCTGACATGGGGCTCTATCCCACGATCCTGAGATCATGACCTGAGCCAAAATCAAGAGTTGGATGCTTAACTGACTGAGCCACCCAGGTGCCCCAGTCGTATGTGTATTTCTAAAAATTAACACAAAATTCTTTACTTTAAATAACAGAAATGCCCCTTTGGCGCCTTATCAATTGTCAATTTACCAAGCAACTTGGAAAAAGAAACAACACATCGGTATTGTGCCAATGCCTTCAAACTTCACAGGTATATTTTCAAGTCAACATTCCTCTTTACTTGGTCAAAAGTAAAATACATTTGAAATTTTCAGAGAAATATAAAAATGGGAAAAGGTATTAACCATCCACTAAAGAGAAATGCAAAACTATAACATCATACAGAACCAAACTATGTGTCAGTGGTTCATTCTGGCTAACATTAGAATTACCTGGGATTTCTTTTTTTTTTTTAAACTAATACCTCGGTTTCAGTCCCGTTGAATTACATCATATCCCCAGATACAGAATCTAGACCTCAGTAAGTTGTAAAAGCTCCCAGGTGATTCCAGTATACAAGTGAGGTTGAGAATCACTATTGTTAATAATACCCTTATCCCCGAAATAACTTTTAAGGGAACTTATTCTCTACCCATTAATCTCATCTACAGAGAATATTACTCTGAACTTGGACATATATTGTTAAATCACAGGAGTTCTTTGAGGTTTTTAATCTGCTGAACACTGATATTTTGAATCTGGGAGTCTAGATTTACTAATGAAAAGGTATTTCTCAACCTGCCAGCTTTAAAGAGCCTACTGCAACAGGGAGAATGAAGTGGAATATTTCTGGTTCATGTGGCACTTTTCTCCTTGTAAGTAAATGGCAGGCCAAAAAAAAAAAAAAACACAGTGTGAGGTTGCACTTGCTATGCAATTTCGTACCAAAGCATTTGGTTATACATTAAAACTTAGCCTTATATGTAAAAGAGAATTACTTTAGAATGGACTTAAGTGAAAATTGAAAAATAAAATTTGGAGTAATATTGGTCATGGATGCATTTCTAACGATTAACAGTTTAGTTAATCTTGGCTGTTTTTTTTTCTAATAGCCAATAATATCTGGCATATATCTCTTAGCTTATTATTGGATGTGTGTGGAGTGCGCGTGCATTAAAATACATGATCCTAATATTATGTAGTTTTTTCTACCTAAGTCCTGTTTTATTATTTTTTTGTATACTTATGACAGGTTGCCTATCCCTCGTCCAGGTGAAGTTTTGGGATTAGTTGGAACTAATGGAATTGGAAAGTCAACTGCTTTAAAAATTTTAGCAGGAAAGCAAAAGCCAAATCTTGGAAAGTATGACGTATGTATACCACCTTATGAATATGAATACTTTAGGTCAATTTTAATGCAACTTTGAAGGAGAGGATATAATTTTTTTTAATATTCTTATTTTCAACATTATTCATTAATTAATGCTGAGAAGCTATATACAGATGAAACTCCTTTTTAATTAAGATCTGTTAATGCTACTTAACTGACAAATCTGAGTTTCCTTAAACTATTAGCCATCTAAACTTTATATGCCAGAGGATTCTATTTGGATATAAAGTTGACCCTTGAACCAAAGTGCGGGTGTTAGGTGTGCTGACCCCCACACATACGTTTGAAAGTCTGTATATAACTTTTGACTTCCCAAAAACTTAACTATTAATAGCCTACTGTTGATCAGAAGCCTTAGCAAGGACCGTCAATTGCACATTTCATATATGTATTATATACTGTATCCTTATGGTAAAGTCAGCTAGAGAAAAGATGTTATTGAGTAAATCATAAGGAAGAGAAAATATATTTACGGTACTTTACTGTAATTATCAAAAAAAATTCACCCATATTGTTCAGGAGTCAACTGCATAAGTCATCCTTTTTGCATTATTGTGTATTATTAAATTCAGATAATTATATTTCTAGGATCCACCTGATTGGCAAGAAATTTTGACTTACTTCCGTGGATCCGAATTGCAAAATTACTTTACCAAGATTCTAGAAGATGACTTAAAAGCCATTATCAAACCTCAGTATGTAGACCAGATTCCCAAGGCTGCAAAGGTCAGTTACTCTTTAGGAGGAATTTATGTGTTACACATATTTGTGGAGGTATCAGAGATGTATCAAACTAAATGTGGTTTACTTTGTAACTCATTTTAATATTGAAGAAAAATAGTAGTTAACTATTTCTGGTATATTATGACAGGGAACAGTGGGGTCTATTTTGGACCGAAAGGATGAAACAAAGACACAAGCAATTGTATGTCAACAGCTTGGTAAGTGTTTATTTTGTGTATATGTTTTAATAGGCCCTGAACTTAACTCATAAAGACAGATACCTTTTTATAGATTGCTGAAATAAATGGGAAAATTTCTAGTAATCATTGTATTTACATTCTCTGTTAACACAATTTTCAACTGAGATATCATTCACGCTCAGAATGATGTACAATATACATTTTGCCTAGAAAGGTAAAATAAAACTTAAAACATTGAACACAATGCCTGTATGTTCTTTGTAGATTTAACCCATCTAAAAGAACGAAATGTTGAAGATCTTTCAGGAGGAGAGTTGCAGAGATTTGCTTGTGCTGTCGTTTGCATACAGAAAGCTGATATGTAGGTTGCTTTACACCTTTTGTATATCTTAATCCTTATTTTAGAGTTTTTATTTATAATACTGCTAATAAAGCAGTGCTTTTGAGAGAAATTAACAGTAATAATATCTAAGGTTCTACTTTTGAGGTAAGATATGGAAGCAGTTGTGCACCCATTGCCCATTCCCTGTTATTCCTGCAAGGGGAGACTAACTCATTTATTTAGAAGTACTTTACAACTTCTAAGTTGCAGCACTTTTTAATATAATCAGTTGCTTATTATTTACACTATATTTATACATAAAAAGATTTAAAAAAAAAAAAAAACAACAACCAGGCCAACAAGTTTTTTTAAATACCTCAAGTAGAATATGAGGTCTTTTAGGTTACCCTAAAAGGGTGGCATGCCATGTGAGAGAGAGAGAAAGGAAGAAGGAGTTTGCTTCCTACTTTCTGGTGCCTCTCTTCTCCCAGATATTTTTTGCTCCCATCTTTTCCACATTTCTACTCTGGCATCCAGTGCAGGCCAGGTCTTTTCCACAAAGTATAATTCTCTGCAGTGCCCTCCTTTTGAAAAACTTGTTTTAATGCATCTGATTTCAGCTAATTAAGAGAAACCTCTCTGAATTACTTCAGACTATATCAGAATATCTTTCATGAGGAGATAATAATTTGTAAGTTAGCTTCAGCTGAGAGTCTCTCCCCAGGCTTGATATGCAGCCCTGCTTTCATAATTTTTTTTTCATCTTTTTACTTCTGAACAGAGTACAGAAGTTCTTTACCCTCATGCAGTGGACTCCTCTTTAGTGTAAGAGGGGATTGTTGTTAAATCAGAAACCATATTACAGGGATTTAAAATATCATGTAAGAGAGAATTATATTTGTCTTGCAAATTATTTGCTTTTCTTTTTCATAGTTTCATGTTTGATGAACCTTCTAGTTACCTAGATGTCAAGCAGCGTTTAAAGGCTGCTATCACTATACGATCCCTAATAAATCCAGATAGGTAAGTACATATTTGGTATGTCTCTCTTATTTTAATTGGGGAGTTATACAAATTTCTAAAAATTAAACACTGGGATCAGCAATGTCATATACATGTGTATGTTTTCTGTTTCAATTATTTAGAGCTACCACTTGAAATTACCTTCTTCTATCTAGAACAGAGGGTCTTAATGCAAGATTTATTTACTACCATGCCTGTCTCCAGGTAGCCTAGAGATACTCTGAAATGATATGAAAGTTCTGGCGTCTCTGTATGGATTTCTGGGAGGCAGGTCATTAGCTTTTACCAGATCCTCAAATGGAGAAGTCACTCAAACACACAAAATTTAGAACATTATAAGGATCACCAGAGTAACTCTGGTTGTTTAGGGTCTTACTGAACTCCAGAGAGTTCTTAACCCGTTAAGTAATCACAACACCCTGTGTTTATGGGGTACTTTTGTAATTTGCAGAAATTTTAAATCCATTCTCTCCTTTGAGCCTCATAGTAATCTTGTTGTTAAGACTCTTTAGGTGGTGTTCCCATTTTGTAGATGAAGAAGTTTAAGGTCAGAAATGGTGGTTATTTGTTCTAGGTTACAAATTTACTACATGGCAAAGCTATGGCCAAAACCCAGGGATCTTTTCCTGCGTAGCATTTTCTATGCCTCTTTCTGTCAGTGACTGATTTAATACACAGCCAATATAAGAATGCAGGAGAAATCCCTAGGGGTAAAAACCAAAGAGAGAACTATAAAGAGAAGAGACCAAGATATGGGTTTCCTGAGGGATGTTGCTCATCTATAATAGATCTTGGGCTTTCACCACCACTCGTGAGCAGGAAACAAAGCCTTGTATATTGGATGATCACATAAAATGCCAGGACTCAAAGAACTGCTTTATCAGCAAAACACAAGCATGTGAAGATGTCAAGGAAGCATATATCTCATTCACTGAGCTCATTGAAAGTAGAGGGATGGCTCCCCTTCAAATATATTCATTGACCAGCAGCTCACATGGATATGGAATTAAAATTTATATAATCGGGAGTCTAAACTCATCACAGTAAGAAAGTAACATAAAAAGAGGGTCCTAGAATCTTTAGTCCTATGGTACCTAGCAGAAGCAAATATAAAACCACTTTGCAGGGATATGCCCTCAACCCTATTTAGTCATACAGGATTCATACAAGAAAAAGACTCATGATCCAAATAATAATAGGAAACCATCTGCAAATTAATCAGTAGGCACAACAGACAACAGGATTAGACCTTTAAGAATGTCTAAGGTGACATTCTCAAAATATCTATAAAATAATAGTATCTAAAATAAAAACATAAAAGGATACAAAATCATAAGAATATGGTACCACAAAAAGGCAGTAGGTAAATATTCAAAAAACACAAACAGATTTAGAAATTAAAAGTGCAGCTGTGACATTAAAAGCTCACTGGACAGCTCAGACAGGTTAGGGACAGCAGAAAAGAGCATTAGAAACCTGAAAAGTTGATCTGTGTAAGTTACCAGAATGCAGCAGATTGAGAATGAGATTGAACTCAGAATGAGTTCAGAAGGGAGGTTTAGAGAATGGAATGAGAAGACGATTTACATATATTTTAATAGGAGTCTGAGAAATAAAGCCATGGCAAGGTCGTCGCTAAAGGTACAAATGATCCACATACATACTTTGAAATGAAACTTAAAATATCAGTGATAAAGAGACATTGTTAGTTGAGCCAAAGTGTAGCTATAATTTTCACTTCATATGTAGGCCTGGACATTATGATAGACTCTTGAAGGAATGTAAGAATATAACATGTAGTCCCAGTATTCAAAGACTTCACAGTCTGGTAAAGAAAAGAACATACAAGCAGTCAAGCCAGTGGTTTGCAACCCTAGCCACTTTTTATAAAATATTTTTATATACCCTTATGAAAATCATAGATATCTCTTTTCACACATAATTTTTTTTTAAATATCACATAACATCCTAACCATAATAAAAACTAAAAGGAAAATAATTTACAACCAGGTGACATGTATCTTAACATGTAAATGTTCAGGGGACGTCTGAGTGGCTCAGTCGGTTAAGTGTCCGACTCTTGGTTTCAGCTCAGGTCATGATCTCAGGGTCATGGGACCAAGCGCTGCATCAGGCTCCACACTCAGCAGAGTCTGCTTGGGATTCTCTTCCTCTTCCTCTGTCCCTACTCCTGCTTACTTGTATTCTCTCTCTCTCTCAAATAAAATTTTAAAAAAACATGTAAATGTTCAGGCAAATCACTATAATCCTGTATTTTGAGAGGGCAGTAACCATAATTGTAATAGGGATAACATGTCAAAACAAATTAGATTGACAAAGTGAAGAAAATGATTGAGTTAGACATTTTCACAACTGTCTTGGGTGTTATTTATAGATAAAGGATTAAAGTAATCTCTTTGTAAGTGATAGACTGATGAAAAAAAGTGACAAGAATTCTGTGCATCCTGAAATTCTGTGACATGTCAAGGCAATGTTCAGTCTTAATGCTGTAAAAAGATTTCAGAGATCATGTCCTTAAAACGAGAAATAGAGCATGGATTGGAGAAAGGACACTAATACGCAAGATTTTTTAGCATTTGGCCTCCAAGAACATCTTTGGTAAGATTAAAAACCAGCACGTAACCCAAAATTAATTGTAGGAATTTCACAGCATAGATTTCTCATTATGCTGCAGATTTGTTTCTTTCCAAATCCTCAGAAAGTAGAGTGGCTCACCTAAATCTTTTTTACATTTTGGACCTCTGTGTAAGCTCCACCTAAAGGTAGCGATATCAGAAGGTTTGACCTGGTTTTTGTCTTCTTTTCAAAGCAAATTAAAAGCCCCTAGATGATACTGTGCTGCCTTACACTGAGTCATGAAAATTTTAATGGTGAAAAGTAGACAGTTATTCCAGATAACGGAACGTTGCCAACAAAGATACCAAGGCAGGATGAGTATTGGCTCACTTACGTGATTTGCCATTTTTATTGATGCTTCTTACTACCAATGTGGTAGAAAATTTTTTTTTAAGATTTTTATTTATTTGACAGAGAGAAAGAGCACAAGCAGGGGGAGTGGGAAAGGGAGAAGCAGACTCGCTGCTGAGCAGGGAGTCAGATGCAGGGTTTGATCCCAGGACCCTGGGATCATGACATGAGCTGAAGGCAGACGTTTAACTGACTGAGCCACCCAGGCACCCCGAAAATTTTTCCTTTTAATATTTTCTTTTCATAATTAAAATTGCCCCTATTTTTTTTTCATTCCTTTTACCACCTGATACCTAGATGGCTTAATAGCCTCCTTTAAAAAGTCTGGTTCTTCTTGCCAGATTTATCTAAAATGATGTTTTTTTCTTATTCTTTTATTCTAGAACTGTGCTGTACCCTGTAGCCATATGTTGCTATTTTAATTTTAATTGAAATTAAAAATTCATTCCTTCAGTCAAACTACTCACATTCCACATGCTCCACATTCCAAGTAGCTACTTGCTACCATATATGGACACCAGAACATTTTCATAACCATAGAAAGTTCTACTGGACAATGCTATTTAAGAACCTACCATTTTCCCCCATTGCCAATTAACATATTCTTCATTTTGTCATTGAACAAACTTACTAAACATCTCTTTGGTACATATCACAAGACTAAAAATCATAGAGGTGCTAAAATGTGTTATATAGTCTCACTTCATAAAATTTAGGGACAAGTTGTAGAAATACTCAAAAATAATAAAATCCAAGTATCAGTTCAGAATTAGAAAGGGTCAAGAGTTGGGGAAAGCTCATTTGCATACTAGGAGGGGTGTTTCCTACAGTAGGTAGAATTTGTGATGGACCTTACAGGGTTGAGTAAGATTTCAACAGGTGAGGATTTAGACAAGAGACCATTTAGGAGAAGGAACCGTCCTTAGACACATAGAAATGGAAAAGTGGATTGATCCGGAAACAATGAAAGAACCATTTTTCAGTGTGCCTTATACATACATGAAGAGAAATAGTACCTGAAGTTTTGGAAAGTCTTGAAAGCAAATCCCAGGATGTTAATTTGTTTATTTGCAACTGAGAGCCATATCTGGGAACCTGAAAAAAATGATGTTTGTTCAAGTCTATAGCAATATTGAAAGAAATCTGAGAGCCTGAACTAGAGTTTAGGCAGAAAAAGAAAGGGATGAAATGAACACCAAAGACATTGTTGAGAAAGAGTTGACAGACTTGACAATTTAAACAGTATGTCATTGGGAATAAAATTAGTTGTGTTTTTTTTTTTTTACTGGAGTAACGATTCCATTAATACAAATGTGGAGAATATTTGTACAGGAAAGAAATTAAGTTGGAATTTGAGGTGTCTGTAGGACATTGCTTTTTTAACATTTTGAACTAACTCGAATAGGAATAAAGTGCTGCATAAAAGTGTCATGACTGTTATTTGCCTGGTAGTTTGTATACTAGCAGTACTATTACCTACCACTTCAAAAGTCATGTCCTGTCCCATCCCACTTATATAGTACTCCAGTACACGCCTTTTTCCTTTCTGACCTTTACTGGATTTTATATCTAGAGAACATACTTGGCTGTGTAGGTTTTTTGGTAATGTTTTGTTTCTATCCCTTGTTTTCCCCAGCTAAACTGAAAATTCTCCAGTTAAGCTTCCTGTCATATTATTCTCTGCATCCCCTTCTACAGCTAGCATATGGGACAGGACGACTAGAAGGGCTTAATCTGTAAGATGAATAGCATAATAGTTTAGGCTACATCAGATTTAAATCTACTGTAACTGTTTCTGCTTGGTAAAGTTTATTTAAAAATGTGTTCTTTATTGGCAAAACACATTTATTTCATGTATCCATAAATTGTTTCCTGTTAATTTTTTCCCCCTTTTAGTTTAGGAAAACAGTTTGAAACAGAAGACTGATACTAAGTCGTATTTTAAAGAAAATGTTTTAAGGCTTTTGTTTAGTATTGTCTCTACATTTAATTTTTTTTTAACGTATCTGTTTTTCTGACATTTACACTGTTCTAAGAGTTTAAATTGTAATTAAATATAATTTTAATTTCATTATATGTTATGTTACATTTAAAAATAAAAATCTATATTGATTTGCAGATATATCATTGTGGTGGAGCATGATCTAAGTGTATTAGACTATCTCTCTGACTTCATCTGCTGTTTATATGGCGTACCAAGTGCTTATGGTGTTGTCACTATGCCTTTTAGTGTAAGAGAAGGTAACTTGAAAAACTATTTCCATAGTGCTGTATTCTTTCACTCTAATGCTTAGAAAATGTATTATTGTTGATATTAAATAGTTATATGTTGCTTTGATATTTATTCAAAACTCTAATTTTAATGGAATTTAATCACTCAACAGAATGTGTGTGTGTGTGTGTATATATGAGGTATCCATCAGTTATTCAGAACATTTCATTTTGGAGAATTTTCTATTGGAGGGGGTAGAAATGCTTTCTCAGTTTCACTCTTTGCAATCTTAAAAGTTTTTATTATAGTTTGGCTTCTACAGCATCATTGTAGTATTTGTCGTCTTTATCTTTGAAAAGCCAATACCAGTAGTGAAACTCTTAAAATTTATTTAGTGCTCATCTTGGCTTTCATGTTTCAAATTTATCTATAATCTGTATCCTAAGTTTATAGAACTAAGACTGTCTAAAAGCCCAATAAGATAGTTTAATAAAGTATATTAAAATAAGATAGCTTACTAAGTATGGTTTAATAAGTAACTCAAAGTCTAATAGCTTAGTAAGTATATTTTCATTTATTCCTTCTACTTTCAGGAAAGAGGGACTCTCTGGCCTCTCTTTTCCATGTCTCTTCTCTACCTAAGCAAGTTAGGCAAAAGTAAAAACTAACCTACCATTAAGTGGCTCCTGAAACAAATGTCAGTGCATTCTCTCTCTGGTATGCTTTTTTCCTTTTAATTTCTTTGCCATTTCCTTCCAGTGGTTTCTTCTTCCTCTTTTACTTTATATTTCATCTTTCTAGGTGTGCCTTCAGCTGACAACCTAGAACAATTAGGAACACCCAAAAGGACCACCTAGTTCATACTTTGAAAAAATACCATATTTTACAAGAATAATTATTCATGTAGTCTTTAGGTTGAGCAGGCTCCCTTTTTTTTTTTTAAAGTGATCTCTTCAAAGAGATAATTTTTGAGATACTAAGAAACTTGGAAAAAGAAATTTATATTGCATCATACACTTTGCAAAAAAGGCAGTGGTAGCTTTTTAGTTTAGAAAAAGTGCATAAAGTTTTTCGGTTAAGATAAGATGAAGGAATTGCTGTCATTATCTGTTTGTACATTTGATATAAATATATGCATATGTTAGAGGAAAAATTGTGAGATTGCCCAATAGTCTTAAGAGATGATATAAAAAACAATATTTTATTCTCAATTTAGCAAGTACCCATTGAGTTACCTACTCTATACCATGTAGTAGGTCCCGAATTGTGTTGATAATGATGTAGGCAACTGGCATTCACTCTTCACAATTCTAGTTATAAATGCCATGTCTAAAAGCTACACCATTTAAGAAATGGTTCCTGGTGAAGTTTTTGATGTTCCCCATCTGTTAAAACAATTCAAGTAAATTAGAACTTATTTTCTGCTTTCCGTGAATATACTGAAATTAATGCCATACATATATGTAAAAGCTCTATTTGAACTCTATAACTATAAAGGCAGTTATAGCTTGAACTGTCTTAAATTGACAAGACAGACATTGGAGTAGAGATGGAAAGGCTGGTTAATGGTTTTTTGCACAGTCACACTTTTCTGAGCCTTCATTCCCTTACCTGATAAATTAGGTATCTGGATTAAATGGCCACAAAGGTTTCCTTCAAATTATGTTCCTATCTAATTTTTGGTTTTAATTTTTTTATCCTCACATTTATAATTTTTAAGTAGTTTTAAGACCAAAAAAACCATGCTGATTTTGGCAGAATCTATTGATTTGTTCTTTCAGCAAATACTGAAAACCTGTGTTCTAGGCTGAGGCTACAGACCCCCTGATAATGGCTCTCAGTTCCAGAGGAGATGAATAACATCCTTAGGCTTTCTTTCAAGACCTTCCAGGCTTGAGCTACTATCTTTCTCTTATTATCTTAAGTATAGGAAACACTGAAAACAGATCTTTTCATTTTTTCCAAATAACCCAGTTTTTCCTTTCTGTGTTTGCCATTGTGGATCTTAACAGTTTTAGTATGGAGGGATTCTCATGTACAATATATTTTCTTTCAGTTATTAAAATCTGTTTAGATAATGTTTATTTTTGTATGGTGAAGACAAAAAAATGTTAAGTCCATTCATTACTATAAATATATTACAAACCTGCAGAATTAATCTGAAAAAATTCAGTATATATTGTAACTTCAGTTTGTGGTATCTAGATCTCATGTGAAAATGCATACTAATAACTTACTTATTTAAAAAATTATTCCCCAGACTATATCATTTTATGTCAGTCTGTGAAAATATTCCATTTTTAACTACTTGTCATTTTTTCAGAAAAATTGCAAGTTTTGATTTAAAAATACAGCAGAAATGGCACCATATTCTTTTGCATAAAACCTAATGGAAAAAAATCTTATAAAAATCATATCATAATGAAAAGAGATATGCTTTGCGTACATAGGCACATATATATGCATAGGTTATTTCAACTTGATTAGATACATAAAACACCATGTTATCACTGCATGTTACCACAAATCCACAGAAATTTGAAATCTGTGCTTAGATTGCTCCCAAGAGAGCCTAGGGATTTGCTTTTATATGATAATTTCTTGCTGTGGAGAAAAACTAGTCTTTAGTTAATCTTTACTAATCTGTTGTCAATGACTTTCCAACAGGCATAAACATTTTTTTGGATGGCTACGTTCCGACAGAAAACTTGAGATTCAGAGATGCATCACTTGTTTTTAAGGTGGCTGAGACAGCAAATGAAGAAGAAGTTAAAAAGATGTGTATGTATAAATATCCTGGAATGAAGAAAAAGATGGGAGAGTTTGAGCTAGCAATTGTAGCTGGAGAGTTTACAGATTCTGAAATCATGGTGATGTTGGGGGAAAACGGTAAGTTTTCCTTATTTCCTTTATTTGAAAATCTGTTTATCCAGTAACTTAGTTTTAACTACTCCATGAAAAACTTTGACTCGGTTGTAGGTCTGGGAGCTAGGCTGAATCCATACATTTCTCAGTGTAGTTCACATTTTGTGATGTGGTAGGATTTAATATTGTCATTCAGTCAAGTTTCTATTTTATATATTTTGTTTAATAACCTGTAGTGAAAATAAGATTCTTTTTCCAAGCTAGTTTTTCTGTGTATAAATTGATAGGACATTTATTCATCTTAGAAACAGATGAGAAAGGATAAAACAGATAATTCAGAAACAATCTAGTTTAAAATTTTTTCTTGACTTTCTCCATTTGAGCTCTCATTTTAAATTCAGGCCAGTCTGTCTTTGTAAATAGTTGTATTACCTGAATTTTCAATATTAGATTGCTGTCATAAATAGAGCTGTGAGTTGAATTTGAGTACCAGATGTCTGGTATTACTTTCAAGATTTAAAAAAAAAAAAAAGATTTGAATTGTATTCAGCTTATAAATCTGTAGAAATTCCCTAGGAGGATTTTGCAATATATCAGTCATTAGCTAATGGAGGAATTTTGAACTGGCTTGCATTTGACTTAAAATTTCATATAAACGGACTTGTAAGGATGGCATCAATCTTAACAATACTGTACCACTTAACGATAAATGGTGTATTGGTATTTGAGCTAAGTAAGTCTTCTAAAAAGTAACCCAAGACTTGTATTTTATAGATCTACCATTTATTAAGATGGTTATTAATAAGATTTATTAGTCTATATTCCTCCCAGTTTAGTTTGAAATGATACTTTAGAGGTGAATCATGAAAGTCTTTTTGATTTTTTTTTTTAAGATTTTATTTATTTGACAGAGAGAGGGAATACAACCACGGGGAGTGGGAGAGGGAGAAGCAGGCTTCCTGCTGGGCAGAGAGCCCAGTGCGGGGCTCTGTCCCAGGACCCCGGGATCATGACCCGAGCCAAAGGCAGACGTTTAACGACTACGCCACCCAGACACCCCGAATCATGAAAGTTTTAAGTATTTTTCTGTATAACCTTCAGAATTCACTAGTGTCAGTGTATATCTTTAAAACTAATTTCTTATTAAAACCCAGGAGTGTACATAGTGATTTACTATAAATGTGAAGCATCTTTCAAGTCCATTTGTTATATATTGTGTTGGCAGGTACTGGTAAAACGACATTTATCAGAATGCTTGCTGGAAGACTTAAGCCTGATGAAGGAGGTACTGTTGTATATTGTTGACTGTTTTTACCCTGTCACACATAGGAAACTTTGAAGATATGGGTAATTTTCAGTGTCTTCTTTATTTGCATTATTTTGCAGGAGAAGTGCCAGTTCTAAATGTCAGTTATAAGCCACAGAAAATCAGTCCCAAATCAACTGTGAGTTATGACTCTGTTATTTGGTTATTAAAGGAAAGTTTATACACACACGCCTATGGTTTTAATCTTTCACTGTATCAGAATTCTTCAGATTATTTTCTGTATAGGTTTACCAAAAAGTGGCTAAGGAACAGTATTAAGACATCAGTCCTTGATTCATTTCCACTGGTAGGAAATGTTTTTAAAATCTGTTTGACATCTTTTTCCAAAATAAAAACCTAATGTGGGGGCACCTGGCTGGCTCAGTCAGTGGAACATGTTACTCTTTATCTTGGGGTCATGAGTTCAAGCCTCATGTTGGGTGTAGAGCTTAACTTTAAAAAAAAAAAACCAACAACAGCAATTTAATGTGTTTTGTGCTACGTATAACACCATCAAGAAAGTAAAAGGCCACCTACAAAATAGAATACTTCTGCAATTTAATAATAAGGTATTTATATCCAGATTATATAAAGAACTGTTACAACTCAGTTTAAAAATGGGCAAAGGATTTGAATAGACTTTTTTTTTTCCCCAAAGAAAATGTACAAATGGCCAAATAAGCATGTGTAAAGATGCTCAGGACCATTAGTCATTAGGGAAATACAAATAAAACTACAGTGAGATACTGCACACCCACTAGAATGACTTAAAAAGGCAGGAACAAGTATTGGTGAGGATAATGGATAAATTGGAACCTCATGCATTGCTGATGGGAATGTAAAATGGTGAGAGCCACCTTAAAAAGAAACTTGGCAGTTCCTCATATGATTAATATAGAGTTACATATGAACCAGCGTTTACACTCCTAGATACATACCCAGAAGAAATGAAGACCTGTCTCAACACAAAAATTTGCACACAAATGCATTATTCATAATAGCCAGAAAGTGGAAAACCACCTCAATGCCCATCAGCTGATAAATGGATAAACACAGTGTGGTATAGCCATGAAATTGAAAGTATAATATTTGTACTCAGTACCACTTTGTTAGGCCTATTTGAGACAGCTTACAATAAAAATTTTATTGATCCTTTATATAAGCTTAGTGTTTTAAGTTCTCAGACTCAGTCAGCCCTCTCCTGAAACAAGCGCGAGACATCTTAAGATTCATCCCCATCACGTTATGCATTTTGTGTTATCTGATTGCCAGAGGGTACTTCATACTCATGCTGACCTTGAGAATTATTCCTATTCTCAGGTGATATCTTTCTTGAAACGGTCATCATTTACTACTTTCAGATTTTAAGATGCTTTTTTTACTTGTTGGACATGATGGGTTTTTAAATAAAAATTTCAGAACATGCTATAGATGATGAATAAACATAAAAATACTATCATATCTGTGAGTGGCAAATTGATATACTTTTTTTGCTCTGGATCTTTGTCAATATTGATTATTAGAGGAATTCTGTACTGAAATAAAATTTCAATACTTTTTTCACTAAAAACAGGGAAGTGTTCGACAGTTGCTACATGAAAAGATAAGAGATGCTTACACTCATCCACAATTTGTGACTGATGTGATGAAGCCTCTGCAAATTGAAAATATCATCGATCAAGAAGTACATACTCTGATTTTTATTTTATTATTTTAAACTTTGCACATCTCTACATAGTTTGCTAAACTTCTTCTCCAAATAGGTGCAGACGTTATCTGGTGGTGAACTGCAGCGAGTGGCTTTAGCTCTTTGTTTGGGCAAGCCTGCTGATGTCTATTTAATTGATGAACCATCTGCGTATTTGGATTCTGAGCAAAGATTGATGGCAGCTCGAGTTGTCAAACGGTAAAGTCCCGCCAGTTAAGAGTATTAGTTTTAATTATGTGCACCGGCATACAGTGGTGCTTAATACAGCATTTGAATAGTTGATAATAGAAAACTGGAAACATTTTCAAAATCGTGTATTTTAGTTTCATACTCCATGCTAAGAAGACAGCCTTTGTTGTGGAACATGACTTCATTATGGCCACCTATCTAGCAGATCGAGTCATCGTTTTTGATGGCATTCCATCTAAGAACACAGTCGCAAACAGGTAAAACTATTTTCTGAAACATTGAAGCCTAATTACAAGTTCTAACAATTAGAAAGTTATTAGTCAAAATTTTCCTTTAAGCTTATGAATTTTAATTTTTAAAAAGGTAGCTAGAAAATCTAGGAATGATTGTGTGACTCGCAGGATTATTCATGTTGAATGCTGGATGGGACTGGAAAGACTAGTGTTCAAACTATAGACCTCCTGACCCAGGGTTGGATAAGCATGCAGACCTCTGGGCCACTCACCTTTTCTTGCAAGTTAACTTTTGTCGTCTTCATTATTTGGATTTTCAAAACAGATGTAGGATTTTGATTCCCTGAAAACCACTGATGCTCTTAAACAGCAGATAAAGAAAAGATGCACATAGGTTACATGATTTGCCCAACTTACACTGCTAGTGGTAATGCTCACAGTGAACCCCAAATATCTGGTATTGATCTACAGCAGAGACAAAATGAATGATTTTACTGTTTACCCTTTTATTCTCTAATTTACTTTATTGGCTCAAATGAGAACACTTGACATATAGAGAAGCCTAACATTCAAATCAGTTTAATGAGAAATTTCTTACACTTTTTAGTGCTAAAACCTTATGTTAGGTTGAAACATATGGAATTACTGATATGCCACCATTTTTTTCCTGTAAAAATAGCAACTTCGTGTGATTCTAACATGTTTTCTGATATTAAAGAGAGAGGAATGGAGTTGCTATTTGAATAATGCATCCAAAAAGTAAAAGTACTTAGCTTCTTCCCCAAATTCCTTTGTTTTCATTTTTAAATTTGTTTACCAGTTGAGAACATATTTCTGAGAGGGAAATTTCATAGACTATATAAAGCTTATTGAATTCAAATAACAATCCTGTGTATTTACAAAAATGTTTAAAATGTTCCACAAGTATGATGCAGTTTAGTATGATTTAAGAATTCGTTTGGGTAAAAAGATGAATAAAGCATAGAAATTGAAAAAGGAATAATGAGTACAATCCATTGTGCTGTACATATTCACTCCAGTTCCAAATTTCTGATGTTAATGTTATCTTTTCTGTTAATTTCTCTTCTCCCCTGAAAGTGTCAGATTGGAAATTCTGTAATCTCCTAATTAACCTTTTGTTTTTCTAAAGTAGTATTTCTTAAATGTTTTTTTCCAGATCAGAAACATAGTTTAAACTGGGTTTGTTTTGCACAGAAATATTATAGCCAAACAAACTAAACAGTCCAAGCAAAGACCCTTCTGAACATAGAATTTATAATATGCTGTGATTAGACTATTATTTAGATAACTTATGATTGGGGAACTAGAGGGAACTGTGCTGCTTTAATACTCTTCATCCCAAAATGTAGTTAAATTTGTGGGATAAATTTTAATCACAATTGATAAGATCTTATTTTTCCTCTAGTCCTCAAACCCTTTTGGCTGGCATGAATAAATTTTTGTCTCAGCTTGAAATTACATTCAGAAGAGATCCAAACAACTATAGGCCAAGAATAAACAAACTCAATTCAATTAAGGTAGGTAGAAAAACTCTAAATTGTGGATAATTTCTCATTATAAATAATCGAAAGGCATGTTTCAAATTGGAGGGCTGTTTCATGAAAAAATTTGTCATTTCGTTAATTCTAAGATTCATATTTTTCACATTAAAATCTGATGGCATCCTTCAGTCTGGTAGGAATTACGATATAATTGCTATTGCAACGGATACTCAGACCCGTCCATGTTATCTCAGAGTTGTACCCACTGTTGTGCTGCCTGTGTTGAGTTTAATTGCCATTTTAAATATCTTAAGATTACACTAATTCACTGTTGGAACAAAGAAGTTTTTGCAAATACCATGACCATTTTCTCTCATCTATTGTTCTTTTAGTGCATACACAACAGCCAACACCTGATTAAAATATTTTAAGAATCCAGACAAGCTCCTTCAGTGAGCATAAAATTGTACACAATGGGAAAACATTTTGTCAGTTTAATTGGCAGTGTTTTCCTTTCTTTGTGGTACATAAAATTATTAATTATGCCCCCTGCAATTGATGTAGTCTGTGGAACAGCTCTTTTTAGAAAGCAGTAATTTCTTGGGGTCACTCAGGAAAAAAAAGTGAACTCTAAAAAACCATTTCTGTGTTTTTGTCTCTTGCAGTGCCTGCTTAAAATGCTGCTTACGTTTCATGGCCCTCTAGCCTTTGTCCTTAATACTAGCATTTACTAGATTTTATTATTTTCATATTTGTACTCTGGCTTTGCTACTGAGCTATAACCTCTTAGAAAGCAGAGACCAGATCAAAAGAGACATCACGTATTCTTAAGCGCCTGACACAGTGTATTGATGTGTTTAGACTCTGCTGTGTATTTTGTTTATACTTATTTTACTCTCTGGCCCGGATAATGAGATTACAGGTTCTGACTTAAAAACTTATTTTAAAAATCATATCATTAAGTAGAAAAGAACTAATTCTACAACACTTATGCACAGCTTAATTTTCCTAAGAATTCCTTCTGAAGTGTTACAGATGTTGTATTTGTCATTTTCTTGTGTAGAGACCCATGGTTCTGGCCCCAGGTATACCTAGTCATCATTGCTCTGTGCCCACTCATCTTAGTCATCATACCTTAATCCTAAAAAAGGAAGTTCCTAGGCAGATAGATGGATGGATCATTTACTGGCCACTCTATAAACAGTACTAGGAAAAAATACTTTTATATACATTTTATGTAATAGGCAGTTCTCAAACTGACAATGTTAACCTTTTGGAGGGACTTAAAATCAAAATGATGAAAATGGAATTTAATAGTTTAGCTGAAAATAGTATTTTATATAGCAAAATTTTACCTACATAAATAAGTCATTTTATATAAAAGGGCTCTGCTTGAGGTGGACCAAGGTAAGTTTTCGGGTGGTAGGGCTGAGTAACAGAGGTACTACTGTTGCCTTTGATTTAGTGGACCCAGGAGTGTGGAGATGCACGCAGACAGTGAGTGCAGAGGTTGTATAGATGCCGTTGTAAACACCACCAGCCAATGCTGTGGGTGAAAGGTCTACCCTACATAGAGGAGAATGGTGTGGATTTTGTTGTTTCTGTTTTATTTTTTAGGATGTAGAACAAAAGAAGAGTGGAAACTACTTTTTCTTGGATGACTAGACTGAATGAGAATATTGAAAAGCCATTTCTTAAAAGAAACATTTATTGGGATTTTTGTCATATAAAACTTTAATCAGGTTTTATGCCCCACATACTCTGGAGCTTGAAGTATAATTTACTTAATGTAACATCAAAAGCCAGTTGTGTTGTAAATTATAGTCTAAACACAGAAAATGCACTTTTCTGTTCTTGATAAGGCCCTTTTTGTGTCTAACATTCTAAAGTGAAGACATTTCAAGCTACACAAATTACCTCCAAGTTTTCATGATGTATGGGAAGATTTTCAGTAGGTGTTATCATATTCATGTACCAAATGCTGACCAGTGTTACCCCCTTTTAAAAATCTTGAAAAAGCTTTCTGTACTTAGAGTTTGCCAAATACTCCTCTTATAATGAAACTGCCCTTACTTTAAAAGCCGGTCGAAGAAGACTCCACTAATGAAATTTGATAAATAAACACATCAGGATTATATTTGTTACTTGTTTTCAGTCTTTGCACTATGTTTTCAGTGTGTTTAGACTTTCAAAGGAAGATGATCTACTACAAAACACCGTTGGAAAATGGCCATGTTCCCAACTTAAGCACTGTTTACAATGTTTTTGGTGCTTTTGAATATCTTTGAGTATCAAAAATCATTTCAACACCCTTCCCCCATCCACCAGAAAAAACCCTAACTTTACTATGAATTACTCAGTTTTAGTATTCCATAAGATTCTATATAATACTCAAAGTAATGTCATTCTTAACACAAGTATACAATCACTGATCAAGATTTAGGAAAAGCATTTTAAAGAATATTTGCTTCCTTTAAAAGTATAGGCTGAAAATCTTTGGAGTTGATGCCTAAGCATCTATGTAAACTTCCACAGATTTCTAATGGGCAGCCAAGGACAGTGAGCCACTTTCCTAAAGGCAACATTAATGCAAGCGAGTCCCCATATAGCAACGTAAAGTACCTCTTGGTACCAGATATATTCACCTTCACCTCCATGTTTGGATGTAGAGGACATGATCTAAACCCATTTGATGGGGGGGGGGCAATTTTGGATACAATGTAGCACGAGCTCTAAAAACTTACATCTTTTGAATTCCTGAGTTTGAACAGTGGTATGTAATGTGATACCACTTTGAATTACACTTCTAATGCACTGAACTGGAACAAACTTATACTACAAGTGAGGAAAAGAGTTTACTAAATAAATTAATGGGGCAAGCAAAATTGGAGAATTGGAAATTATTGAAGACTTTTAGAGCTCCTTGAAACAATAGAAGTGTTAATTAATATGCAGACGGTGAATAGAAAATATGGTTTAACTGGTCCCCATTAGGTCTTTTAAAAAATTTAGGAGTAATCCATGTTTGTTGTGAAAAATTCAAACCTACTGAAATTTATGTAATAAAAACGTTACGATCCTTCCTCACATTACCCTCCCAAAGGTTACCAGTGTTTGCATTTAATAATACATATCCTTTTATGGTTTTTTTCTGTGCACTTAACCTAAGTGTGAATATGTAAAGGGTTTGTTTTGTACATAAATGGGATTATACTAAAATAAGTAGTGCCTATTTTTAAGGATAGGTTAAATTTGTGAATGATTATTTCAAGTATATTGAATAAAATAAGACAAAAGATGTTTTTACTTACTGATTCCATATTCTGCCCTAAAGAAAACACTTGTGATGAGAACACAGCTCTACTTAACTGAGGACAGAAATATGTATTAGTTGTGATATTGTTCGTGTAAATGAAGTTTTTAAAATATGGATTTAGGTAAAGTTTTATATAGCAATAAGAAAGGTTTTACAGTTGCTAACACAAGAAAAAAGTTTTTCTATAAAAATCCATTAATACCAACTCAAAATACACCAACAGTGCAGTTGTTAGCTATTACATTTAGAAATAATGCGCAATATGTCCTAATTGGAAAATATCTCTAAATAGTATAACACAATACACAATTTATATGAAAATATAAAAACTATTAAAATACCAAAAGGATACTCAAGACAATAAGCCTTTGGGGAATAACAACTTGGTTAAAGAACAGGTAAGAAAATGAGATAAATGCACATATGGCCATTACCTTTTGAATTTTGTATACTGTATGTATCAACTGTTTAGAGATCATTTAAGTTTTTAAATCTTCAATAAAGAGATAATCTGTATTATGTTCAACCAGTGTACAGCAATATTAACAATTTTAGACCATGGCATCTTGAAACCCAGTCCCTTATCTCTGGCTTGTAATTGCATATTTTGGCATCTGGCATGTAGTTTGTCTTCTGTGTTGAAGGAATGAACCTATTTGCCAGAAAACAGAAAGACTGGATAAACTATTCAAGTTGGTACTATAATTTCATTGGTATCCATTAACATTTAGATACATCTATGTCAAGCTCTGGCATATTATGCACACCCAGCGGTTCGGAAGAGAAACTGTTCTGGGTTGGAGAGTCCGAAAGGACTGAGGAGGCAGCGCCCAGAAAAAGTAGCACCTGTAACAAATGATAAATCTGCAATGTAGAAGCAGAAATGGGCATGGAGAGGAGTGAGAAAAGGATGAATACAGGCACATGCGGATTTTCAGTGCCTTCAATATAGAAATTTGAGGTTTTTCCATGCTCGTTGTAGGGATCGAAGAGAGCGCAAAAACCACTAGAGAAGCAGCTAGAATTACTAAGATAGTTACTCAGGAGCTTAGTTTTTATTCTGTAGAGTTTTTGGTTTTTTGGGTTTTTTTAAAGATTTGACAGCACAAGCAGGGGGAGCGGCAGGCAGAGGGAGAACCCTATGTAGGGCTCTATCCCAGGACGCTGGGATCATTATCTGAGCTGAGGTTAGATGCTTGACTGACCGAGCCACCCAGGCGCCCCTGTTGAACCACTACTTAACCTTACGTCATTGTTTCTTTGTAATCCGGTCTGTGAATTGATGTTTAGTGAGGTGGTATCTCTGAAAATTCTGAGGTTTGGTGTGCCAAACAGTCCCCTTTTCCTTCCCACCCAACCTTGTACTCACCAGCACCTCCCTCCTTGCCGTTTGACAGGGTAGCATGTGCCCAGCCCCAGATGGTGGATCATAAATGGGCTAAGCCAATCGTGACAGCCTCCCTCGCTATTTTCCTAGTCTCCCTTGCAGCTAGGCATGGCCATGTTGACCCAGTTCTGGCTAGTAAGTTCGAAATAGAAGTCTCTCAGGGTGTTTCTGGAAGCCCTCTTGATTTCCTAATAAAAGGAGATACATACCTGGTACTGCTTCTTATGGATTTATTGTGCCCATAAGGTGACACATGGAAATGCCAAGAAAGCCACAAGTTTGCTAGTCTTCACGTTAAAACTGCTCAATTCCCAGCTGCCACTTCCCTCCAGATTTCTTATATGAGAGGGAAATACAACTGTTTATTTAGGCTACCGTAAGTCAAACTGGTTTCCTGTTCAAGGAATCTTGCCTCCTTGGCTGAGGTCCGTCTCTTCAAAGGCTCTCCGTTTGTTTCTGCCAGGTGACCCAAGTGTATTACCACCAGCTGGGAACGACTTTTCATCTTAGCTTGCAAACAGATATGGTAACATGCTCAGTGTTTGGGATTTTTAGGTATAGGGAATTTTTACTCTTCTGACTGCCCTTTTTACTGGGATGCTCCTGGCTTTAATGCAGATGTGTTAGTTCCAACCCCCAACACCCCAACCTTGCATGCACCCCCGTTTCTCTCTCCCAGACCTACACAGTTGTCAGCTGATCAGATTGTCAACCATATCCATCCACCCCTTCTCATGGGCTGCAGCCTTAGTGCCACTACAAGTCTGTGCCTCTGGTTTCTGGTCTCCATTTCTGGCCTTAATCTGTGAATATCTCATATAATTATATATACCTTATAAAATTATGAAGGATTTAAATGCTTTTACTGACTTCTAATTTAGAAAAGAATTCCTAAGAAATATGCAACAAGTTACACAGTAATATGTACATCCCTAGGTCGGTACGTAGCATTACTTTGTTTTCTACTCCATAGGAAGGCGGTTAGTCCAAACCCAGTTTTCATTTAAAAGAAAAAAATTAGCTTACTACACAGCATTTTTGCTGACAGTTAAGTAAAATACTGAAAGGGCCAGGAGGCCATGAGAATCACACTATTCATCCGTATTTACATCTTTGATCTAGATTTTTTTTTCTAAATGTGAAAAATATAATCCCAGGTATGTATGTAAAAAGGATGGACTCTGAAGCTCCAACTTCTAATCAACTCAGATCTAAAAAATTCTAAGATGTTTATAAACCAATGTCTGTAGCTTCACTATTCTGATGAGTGCCATGATTCACATTTCTAGAAGAGCTTTATAAATTGAGGGTTTATGCAAGGAAGCTATTTAACTTCCTTCTGTTGCAGTCTACATTTTCATACTATTCCCTAGACAACAAATACTCAAAAGTGGAAAGCAAGCCTTCTAACTATAGAAAACTTTAAGAGAAACTGTAGAGAACACTTCCAGTCACTTGGTTTCACCTTTTTTATCCCATCCACTTCAAGTAACCAATTCTGAAAGGGCTCCACCCAACACCAAGACACCCTTCTTGCTTTCCTCATACTCCAGCTTCTCTACTGACTACGTGGGGAAAGACAGTGGCACTCACACAGCGAACAGCGAAATGCTTCCCCCGTCTCGTCCTCTCCCTCCATTCCAAGGTTCTGTGATACTTCATTCACCTGCTTGGGCAATCCCAAACAACTGGCTTCCACGTCTAACCAACTTACATTCCCAGCTTGCTACCCCTGTTCCCAGCTCACCTCTCCACCAAACAACTTGTGATGAAAAGGAAGCCTTTTTTTCAGGCTCTCCTTCCTGGGAAAGTCATTCTTAAGACAAGGTCCATATAATAAGTAGATTAAAGAAGCATTAAGAAACTTGGGTTTTTGAGGTGTTTAAGTCTATCTGCTACCTCATTTTCCAAATAAAACTTTTGATCTTTCTTCATTAGATAAGTAATAGAGGTATATATACCTCAGCGATACTGTGGGTCTAAGGGAATCAAAGTTTTTTGGTTTCCCAGTGCATATAAATTTTACACTGTAGTCTATTAAGTGTGCAATAGCATTATGTCTAAAGACAATGTATATAACTTAAAAATATTTTATTGCTAAAAGATGCTAACCATCATCTGAGCTTTCAGCAAGTCATAATAATCACTGATCACAGTTCACCACGACAAATATAATGAAAAAGCCTGAAATACTGCAAGAATCACCAAAATGTGACAGAGTGAGCAAATGTTGAAAAAAATGGGACCAACAGACTTGCTCAATGCAGGGTTGTCACAAACCTACTTGTAAAAACAGTATCACAAAGCATAATAAAGCAAAACACAGTAAAACACATGCCTATACTGAACGCTAACTTTAAATAAAGTCATTTAATCTGTAAATTATTCTTAGTCTACACACCCCATTTCATTTAATGAATGCTGGAAAAAATGGTAGAGAGCACTAGTTCTAAAACCACTCAGAGCTAGGTCCAACTCCAAATTCTACCACTTATTAGCTGCCTGACCTCAGTCAAATTAAATTACTTGGCCTATCTCAGTTTTATATATGTTAAGTAGGGAAAATAACAGTACCTACCCCATAGATTATAAATCCCCACGTGGTTTTTAGTTGCACATACTAGAATTATCTTCTGACTGGATAGAAACCATGGAAATCATCTTTTTTAGATGCTTACTAAAACTCCTCTTAAGATTTATATGCTGTATTACTTGGTTAACCCTGAAACCAAAGAATCACAAGCAGAATCAAGAGACAAAATTTAATATATGCACACAGTTTTATATATAATGCAGCATCACACCATGTAGGGCATTTACTCTTGTTTTATACATTCAGATATGTTTGAAACACTTCTTAAGGCTACAAAACAGAACATAGAAAAATAAACAGGAATATATTCAACACTTACAAAAAGTGATATGATAAAGAATATAAAGTACTATTTTCCTTTCAACACTTCAAAAGATATGTATATATACTTTTTTT